GGTTGAAAAAAGAGAGTAAGCCAATGTGGCTGGAGGAGGGTGAGCAAAAGAGAGGTTGCCGGGGTGAGGCTGGGAGAGGCAGGTGGGATTGGAGAGGCAGGGGAGGCTGTAGAGGTAGGTAGGGCTGCAGAGACAGGTGGGGCTACAGAGACAGGTGAAGTAGGCAGGCAGGGCGGCCCTGTAAAGCCACAGTAAGGAGATTCAGTTTTATTATAATGAGAAGCCACTGGAGGATTTTAAGCAAGAAAGTGACATGATCTGATCTATGTTTTTAAATGATCACCCTGGATCTGAAGAGTATCTTCAAAGACCTCTTTAGAAAAATACTAACACTAATACACCAAAGAACATTAAAGATGCCCACCAATACAATGTAAATCCTAGAAAGTAAAAATGGTGTTTTTAATTTTGAGGCCAACATCATCATTACATGTATCTGTCCCTACCCACCTCATCCCCCAAAAGAAATACTCAACAGAGACTTCAATAGTGTTTTCAATCACTTCTGCGTTCTACCAAGTTTACTGTTTTGTGTTCAGTGCCCTACCAAAATGAAAAATCATTTCCATAGGAAACTGTAAGTGAAGACTTTGTCATAAGTATCTCTGCTTTCCACTGCAGCCTATTTTAACCTTTGGAAAACCATGCTCTGCCTACAATCACAATGTGCATTTTAAAAATACAGATGAGAAAAGACTAATATTTCAGACTTGGATTCAGCAGATAAAACTGAAATAACAAAACACTATCTGACACTTGGGGATGTGAAATGGAAACTGTCCAACCATGGAGCAGGTGCCTTTCTGTTTATTACAAGCCCAGCTCCAGAGAGTGCCCTCTCCATGACTGATTTTTCTTTTTTAGCTCAAAAGGGAAGTGGAGGAATAAGTGATTTCTACTGTCTGTCTCTATGGCAACCAGTATCCTAATTTCACCTCTTAAATGACAATTATACCTATTCACTGAATCGCTTTCAATCCCACTGTTATGATGAAAAAATTGATTTCATGAAAAATGAGATACAGGTAATAGGTGAACTTTTCCCCTAGCAGCCATGAAGTACACTTCATAACAGGTACAGTCATTCATAAGCGGAATGTGCTCTGTGGGGCTTTTTCTTTTTCAGTTGCAGGATGTTAACCCAAATATCTTTCCTCTCATTGTCTTTTAATGAGAAAATGTTATTCTTTTTTCCTTAACATTTATTTTTACTCAATTATAAAATTAGTTGGGTTCATTATAAAGAGTCTGGCGAATACAGAATAAAATAGAAAAATATAAAGAAGAAAATAAAATTCACTCTCACATAAAAATAATCACTATTAATAACCTGCTAGCATTTTAGATGCATATACATACAAAAACAATTTAAATATTATTGTGCATACTTTTTGTAACCAAATATTTTATAAAACAGATTATTTTATAAAACTTATCATTAAATATTCTTCTAACACATGATTTTAATATCTTCAAAGGAATCTATAATATGGACTATATTTTACTTAACTAATCACTCTATGTTGACATTATTAAAAATGTTTATACACACCTCTATTTAGCTTAGAATAAATCCAAAAAAAAGGAAATATATAGATCAAATGAATAACATCTTAAATTATATTGCCAAATTTTTCTCCAAGAAATACATCAATTTATTTTCCCACTACAGGTTGATGTGTGAGAGTGCCCATTTTCTTAAAATCTTGATCAGAGGTACTATTTTTAAAAAGAAAAAACATGCCAATTTGATGAAGAAGGGAGTATCTTATTACATTCTTTAATTTCAAATTAAAAACTTATTTTAAGGTTAAATATATTTTTACAATTTCCATTGTTTTTTAGGGAGCAACACATGAATTGCCCATTCCTCTCTGTAGCAAAGTTGTCCCCTAATATCCATTTTCCCTCTATTTCTTAGTAACAGAAAAGACAACTTTTAGCACATAGCCCCTTGAAATGAAATCTTCCATTCTCCTGTGTAACTAAGTGTGGTTATGTGTCTAACTCCAAGCTGATGAAATATAAGCAAAATTGATCTATGCTATTTCAGAGAAATGTCCTTCAGGGAAGAGGATATACCCTCTTTCTTCTCTTCATCATTCAGGATGGCTGAAATGCAGATGTTATGGTTGGAGCTTCAGCAGCCACTTTAGACCATGAGGATATGGGCTACACTCCAAAGATGGTGGAAGAGAAAACTAGAGGGAGCCTGGGTTCTTAAGAACTTTGCAAAAGTGTCACCTTCAATGGCTTATCTCCAGATTTTTAGGTGAAAGAATAAAAACTTTTTGTTTTTAAGCCATGATTGGGTTACATTTTTTTGGTATATGCAGCTGAACTTAATCTTGATTGATATACAATTTTCCCTGTCATTTTTTTAAGTGCTCTTTCTGTTTTAAGTATATTTATATTTTATCTGACGTATATGCTACAAATTTTCTCAGTTTGTCATCTGCTCCTTAATTTTGTTTATAGAATCAGGAGATGCAAAAATATAGTTATTCTTAAATCTAATTACTACATAAATTTCATTATATATTCAGAAAAATTAGATTATAGTATTAGCTTAGAAAACTAGATTCCACAGAAATCTTTTGTCTCAATCATCATAAGGCAGCACTGAGACATAAGTTTACTTCCTATAGGTATACAATTAAACAGTTATATTGCAGCCTAAAGTCATTTAGATGATGAGTGTATATGTTTGAGAGTTTGTTCAATAATTCATTTTTTGCTAAAGCAGAGATTTTCCATTTGTGCAAGGCATTTTCTCAGAAGTCTCCACTGGGACTCAGTGGAAGCTCAGTGGGCTGGCTCTGCCTGCTACCTCCTATCCATGTTTCAAAAGCAGCCTGTGTTATTCTTTGGAGTTCCACAAACGGGTCCCTGCCATTAGTGATTTCCCACACAAACAGTTAAGAGATGGGGAGTCACAATTTCCTACCAGATCGTAAGCAGCCAGCATCTTTTTCTGCACATCTGGAATTGCACCCAGAGGCTCCAGGTAAGGAAAGCTATCTTTCATCACGAGAGAGACTGAGGGAGTATTGTCACTGGTGATGAGCCGAGAGGACAGGGTCAACAGGCACTGCTTCAGACTGGCAATTGGAGGGAGTCCACACAGTTCCTTAATAGAGACTATCGCATTCTGGGAGGAAGAAAACATGGAATCACACTTCTGACCATAAGACACATCAGCCCCAGCACGCCCAGGTTTACACAAAAGTATGTTTATTAAAAGTTTACCTTTGGAGACATCTATCATTGGAGTAAAATAGATTATAACCAACCACAAATGTTGTGATGTGCACAGAGATAACACAGAGAGCTGCTTCACGGTTACACTTCATCTTTCTCAGTTTTTGGCAGCCACCAAAAGTATGCCACAAAAGCAAAGCAGCACGTGACACAAGGCTATACAGTGCTTTTCAAAGCAGAGCACAGGAAGATTCACATAAGTGAGTACTGCCTGGCCATGACTATCTTATTTGATTTGTGTCATGATGATGAGGAAAACATAATGCCAGTGGCTGTTCATTGAAATGCACCTCCCTTGGACTTTCCCCGCGGGGGAGCAGGCTGCAATATCTCACCACCCTCCATGCGACTAATCATCAATGGTACGCTTTTGTCACCCCATCGGAAAGGCACCTGACAGACATACATACTGAAAATGTATTTCATGTAGAGCTACTTTTGTCCATGTTACGGTCTTTTTAACAAATTCATTTGAAACTGGAATTATGACTATTTTACATTTTATTAACAGTGAACAGTGCCTAATCTAGTATGTGCTTCATGAATTTAATGACAATGGTGGTCTTCATTTTTCTACTGATTAGACTCCAGATAATCCTTAACCCAAAACACTTTATGTTAAGATAATATAGTTTATCAGCACTTGACACTTGGAAAAACCTTATCTATAATAACCCTCCTTAATATGTATTTTAAATTCATAATATAAAATATGTCAAAGATATATTTCAAGAATTATATTAAATTATATAAAATATTCTAATTATATATAAAGTCAGGTATAGAAATGATTGATAACTAATCTAATATGGAGATTTACAATAATATTGGAATTATGTCAGGGTAGAGGAGGAGAATGTGGGATTTTTTTTCCTACCTGCATATTTTCTCTCATGTCTATGGCTTCTCGTAAGGGATGAACCGCTATTTTAAAGATGTCATCTATGGTTTTAAGACCAATATTCCTGAGCATGTTATATTCCCGAACTTTCTTCCCCATCCTCACTGAAAGGCTGCGTTTCTGTGCCTTCCCTCCTCCACTTCGATTAGTTATTGCTATGTGGACAAAAAGGGTTACGTGCTCCATGATATCACCCACAAAAGAGCGCAGGGGAACATGCCGATATCCAGGCTGCAAACATTCAAAGGGTATTGTGTATTGCCCTATAAACTCATCCCCGATGTAGTCATCATCCAGAACAACAAAACGGATCATGGCCAGCTCAGGTAGGTTTACTTGAAACTCAAAAGTTTCATCAAAAATGGGATTATCACTGTTTTGTTGTACAGTTTTAGTTCTTTGTTCCGAACAGTCCGCTGGAATTCCATGTATCTCTATACAAACATAGGGATCTATGACATCCCCTTTGGCACAAGCTCCCTTGGGCTTTGGGAAATTCTGACCACTGATGATCTTGATATGAAGAACTAGAGGAGATACCCCAGGTACGATGCCCTTTGTATTTGCACTGAAGTAAGAAACCTCATCTCGCATGATAGACGGCCTTAGAACATAACCACATCCTCCATTTTGAAGAAACCAGCCTGTGTGAAGGTCCATCATTGGACCCGGAGTCTGAAAATTCATTGCCACAATCTGACAGCCACAATTCCAAAAGTCCTGTGGATTCAAGTTACTGGAATCGATCCTCACGGCACTTGGATAGATTCTTGATAAGAACTTCTTATTATAATTCACAAAATCCTCTGGGTATTCATTTGCAATTCGGCTGGCCTCTGTTTCACTAAAGGAACAAATTTCCCAATAGTTTTGGCTTTTCATGGACAGTTCAAAATCCCTGTACTGAACAGACTTACAAATAGATACCAGATCAGAGAGCTCCCTACAGAGCCAGATTTGTTTCTGCTCACCGTTGTAATCTACTGACATCCTTCGAGACATTTCAGCTTCTTCATCTTCATCTGTTACTTCTCCTTCTAACACATCTGCATCAGAGGGCAATTTCTTTCCTTTCACAATGATCATTCTTTTCAATTTTTCCGGTGATGGGAGGTAGGATTCTGATGGCAAAGGTGCTTCAGTATAGAGTTTATTGCCAAAGACCTTTTTCATCTGCTGAACCATTACCTTCTGCTGTGGGAGGGAGCAATGATTCCCCAAGCAAAGAATGAGTGGGTATTCAGAAGCCACAAAGGCAAATTTATTTATCACTTCTATGACACTTCGAAAGGAAACATGTGTTGTCACGTTATTTCTATTACAAAGGATGGGTTCATTATCTGAACCGTCACTTACATCAAGTTCAATGCTTCGACAGCCCATTTTCAAGGCTCTAACATACCCATTGATGTCAGCTGGTCCCCTGAACTGGTCTTCTACCAGATACGTGTTATGAGAGGCATTGATGTAGTAGTGAGATAATGGCTGGGTCATATCTTGAGCAACCTTCTTTTGCTCAGGATCAAAAATGTCACATTCTGGTGACAATAAATACTGGGTAAAGCCATCAATTGCAAGAAACCCTTTTTGACGTCCCTCTTCAGAAAGTTCATACCTCCTAATTATGTTTAAGCACATATCCTCAGTGATATGGGTGACTCCTTGCTCAGCTTCTAAAAAGAGCATGAGATCATTGGCATCCAAATATTCTTTGTTTTTAGATATCTGTACAAGTAAGAAATACACTTCTGGCCTGGTGCAAAGTTCACAAAAAGCTTCACAAAATTCCTCTTCTGTCACTCGGGTGGTTAGCTTTTCTTTGCTCTTCTGGATTTCTTTAAACTTTAACCTGATCTTGGATTCCTTCAGTGTAGGGTTGAGTTGTTTTATTAACTCTACAGAGGTATCTTCCAACATAATCCCATTCCCATCAATATCTGCTGCTTCAAACACGGTTTTCAACCACATGAACCTTGGTGTGTTCTGGTTGCCCTCCATAAAATCAAGGGGTTGCTTACTTCGAGAAACCAGGTACCGTAACCCAGACACCCAGATATTTGCTACGTCTGCTGAATTGGCAACTAGGTCCAGAGACTCGTAGTTTTCCCCATGGAGTATAGAAAAGGCACAGTCCTCACAGATCTGGTCAGCAAGGCCATTGTTTCTAAACGTTTCTGTGTTTTTCCCCAGTCTGATCTCTTTTATGGCAGAAATATCAAGTTTAGCTTTCTCAAGGTCCTTCTTGGAAGGTTCCCAGCGAAGAGCTTGGAGGTCTGTGTCCAGAGTGAAAAAACGGTTGTAAATGCGAGAATTTGGCCGGACTTTCTTCAGTTCACAGCCAGCTTGCATGAAGCTGATGCAGTCATTTGCACTGCTAATTTTCTTTTCCGATGGCATGCTGCTGAAAGACACGGTTTTCTTTCTTCCACCACATTTTTGGTTTGAAGGATCCTGTAAAATAATTTGAAAAGAATGAATCAATTTCCTTTAGAAAATAGACAGATTCAGTAACACTCTATGATCTCCTCAAATTTTACTTAGATATTGTGATTATTTCAACAGAAGCTAGCCTAAAATTTACCTTCATGCTGTTTCAGAAAAGAAAAATTGCTAAGAGAATTGATATTAGGTTCAGAAAAAAACTTATTTTTCAAATGCCTGTCTGTTCTTTGAAATAAAATCAAGCATTAAGTATAAATCACTCCTATTTGTTCATTAAAGCAAATTTCTTAAGAACCTCTACCTGCTGGTGCATTGACTACCTAGCTCAACTCCCATTAGATATGTGAAAGAAATAAAGCTGGATTTCTTTAAGAAGTTTTCTTCATTTATACTTTGCAACAGTTTAAAAAGTTCTCTCTTAAAGCTAGTTTAAATAAAAGGCTTTTACTGTAACATACTTCATATCACCAAGGGCTTAACTAAACAGCTTAACTCTTTTTCCTCAAAGTATTTCGAGGTGTCTTGAAAGTCAGATGAGAGCTAATAGCCAATGGCTCTCATCCAAGCAAATTTTCAGACTGAGGTAAACAATTTAAATGAACATAATAGGAATTCACATCAGCATTTGAGTCTACTGCTATTAGCAGGCAGAGCTTACAACTAAACAGAAATGTGAATGGCTCCACTAACTTTTAAGGTTCTTGTGATGTAAGTTAAATTTCAAAACCTTTTGCCAGAAGATTTCACAGGGAACACTTGTACTTTGAAAATGCCTCCATTTCTGGAAGTGTCCTTGGGTCTTAGTCTCACAGAATCCCAGTCTCTTCAGCCTATTTCCCCCTCTCTGATCAACAGTGCCAACAGGGCATTGAACTTCATTCGTTCAGATTAGTGTATCTTAAGCAGGTCATTATTTCTTGTGGCTATTTCTTTCTTGGTTGTATTTAGGCCTTCTCACCTGCCGTCCTTCCTAAGATACAGCTCCAGTCTTCTGAATACTCATGAGATGATGGATTTCATCTTAGTCTTGAACTGTCCACTGTGTCTGTCACTCCCAATTCATGTGCATTGAACGTCTGACCAATGCCACTTAAACTGGATATTTCTTTATACTCTCCTCTGTTCTGACCATAGACTCAAGTTAATAATGTTCCCAACCACATCATCAACTCAAAAAATTGTCCCAAGAACAAATTTCCCAGAAGCATCTTAATGCATGTTTACTGTGCCAAATTTACAAGTGTACCAAAGAATCAGTAAAACATAGGGTCCAAAGGGCATTGTCCTCAGAGCAAAAATAATTATTCTCAAGTTGTGATTATTCCACTCACCAGATATATAACCTTGGGTAAGTCACTTAATCTTTCTGAATCTTAACTTCTGATAGGAATTAGTAATCTTTACCTATAATACAGTGTTATTGTGAGACTCAAAAGAGAAAATGCACATGACTGTCCTTTATAAACTCTGAGCGCTTGTAAGGTTATTCCTTTGAAAAGAAGAAGAGCATTTCCTCATGTGCCCATTCACCATGGGACCATCAACAGGAACTGACCAGAATATCAGGGGTTATCCAGAAGTTAATTCATTCCTGACTTCTGAAGATTTTAGACAAGTCTTCAGTGATAAACTGAAAATATTTTTAAAACAACCACATGGTGTTACTATTTCAAACACTAAAAAGTATAACCAAAGTTGTCTGGGCCATCTCCTTCACTGGAATTCTTTTAAAACAGAGTAGAATCTCTTTTCTGAGTCCTCATTTAACTGACCCTGCCTGCATGAGCCTGCCTATCCTATAATATAGAAAAGACAGGTTAATTTATTATTCAATTGACTAAAACCATGCCTGTGAAAAGAACAAAATTTGCTTTAGTCATGAGATGTTGGTGGGATGATTCATTGACTCAACTATATATCAGATCTTCAAATGACAAAGATATAAATTACCCAGTTTAGATTACAGAATATTATCTCGTGGTGCCCTGGCATTTAACAGCTTTGCACCTGCTTTTCCAGAGAGTTGCTATTTTTAATTATCCCATAGTGGTCAATTTCCTCATCCTTAAGTTAAAAAACAACTATAAATCTTCAGCCATTTATACGCAGATGCTCTAATAGAACACGTTCAAAATTGTCACGACCCACATGCTCAGAAATATCAGATGTTTGTTGGTATTTTTCCACAGCATCAAGGCAAGTACCTAATGGCATTGCTGAGACAGGATTAATCTACCAAGTAAAATAAAGACGGAAACTGTGAATTGTGATGGTGAGACTGTGACTCAGCTTTTAAAGCTAACTGTTTGACTTGACTTTTAAGCTAATGAGAGCTTTCACATTAAAAATTATTTTTACATAAGCAGATCATGTTCCAAATAGAATTGTTGTCAGCAGAGTTATAAAACCTCTCAGTTCCTAGCAAACCTTAAATGGGAAATCAGTGTTCCTCTAAATGCATGTATATGGTTGCTATGCCCCACACATGGTATTGCACTAGCCTTCTCCACAGTTGAACATTTTGGTCAGCTCAAGCGAGCCACTGTTTATTTATGAGAACAAAACTACTGCTGTGAGAATCGCTTTCTCTTATAAGCCTCTCTTCTTTGTGATATCGCCTTCAATCAAGACTCTCCTTCCTAGTAAGACAAGCCCCTCAAGAGATAAATGTTTTCTGTCTAGCCCCAAAAGAAATCCACCTGCCCCATAATGTTTATTTCTTGCTTTGACCTGCAATCCCTAAAACTTGGAACCAGTAAAAAAGTCTGATTCTTAGGTTGTCATCTCACAAAGGACAAAATCTAAAGTCATTACAAGTCCCCAGATGAGCTAAAAATTGGCCAGAGCATGTGTGAACAAATAATTAGCTTGTCTGCTGATAACTAGAGCCAAGATTATTTATATTCAAAATATGCTGGAAAGGGTTCAAGACTCTGATATTTCTCTAATTCTACCACAGAAAAAGATAACATCTGGATTCAGAGTGCCAACACGCTGTTCTTTCAATGGCCGTGCTATGCATTGGCTCTGACAGGTTGGGAGGAGGGGAGATGGACATGGTGTTTCAGTGAACAGGAAGGATGGAAGACTCCAATCCCCTTCTGACCTACTTCACCATCACAGCCTCTAAGCCAGAGTCCTCCGCCCCCACATCTGTATTCCCCTCAAGAAGATTTTGGCAAACTGGAGGTGGGAAAGGAAGACTATTAAGATAAACAGACAAAGAAAGTTAAAATGCTAGTTATAGGTTTTCCTTGTTCATAAATACAAAAAAAAATTATCATGGAATGATTGTGAATCCATTGCAGTCATCTATATATTGGGAAGACAGGTATTTCTGGCACTTTCCAAAAGAAACCAAGTTTATTATCAGTTCAGGTGTGCTCTCATCAGCTTCCAGTTCATTAGATGATTGAATTGATTCCAATGACCACGACATCCTTTCAGAAGATTTTTATAAAGTACAAGGACTTTCCATTTATTTCAAAGCCAACTTTCCTCACTTGGGAATGAAAGCAAGAGGTTGAAGTACCAATCTCCATCCCTACCACCACCACCAAAGGTTCTCTTAGAGCAGCTTACAACAAAAAACTTTAAATTTGTTAAGGATAAATAGTACATTGAGATGCCTCTGTCTCCTAAAGCTTGGCCCCATGCTCTAGTGCAGTACAAGAATTAGTCAAACATTGAGCTCAATCCTTTCAATTTCCTAACATTCTATGCAAAAGTTTCCAAATTATGATTTCCCAAGAAGGCATCACATTTAAATAAGTTAAATAATAAAGCAAATAAACCAAATTAGGTTTATATGGTCCCAGAACATCTCCAGATAATACTTCACATTTTAGATCTATGGTCTTTTAAAATTAATCAGTACTTTATAAAGGATTTTATCATCAAAATCAAGAAGTCTCATAAACTGCAAAAGCAATAGATAGATATTTTACTCTCGTTAAACAACACAAGAAACTGATTTATCTATGAGCATTGTTTCTAATATATTCATATCATAAAGATAATTTCTATCTAATCTTAAGTGGTAAGGGCTGATTTCTAATCTTAGAAATCATTTCAAAACACTAAGAGGAAATGGGAAAATATTCTTTTAATTTTTTTATTTTTTTCATTTTTTGTATAACATTATTGCTTATCCCCTATTAGAAATAGGATACCAATCATGATTAAATGAGATTCCCATACAATAGTAAAATATTTTCAGCTCCTTAAACATATTTTATTACACTAGTATTGAAAAAAGTTCACATAAGCCAAATTAATAAACATATTTTCATAAATTCCCATTGACATTTGCTCTCTGAGCCCAAGATTAAATATACTGCAAATTCCTTAAAAATAAAACAAACGAAATCATTTTCCTTCACAAGACATTGATAAGCTCCAAAGAAACTCTGCTTATTCAATGCAAACACAGCTTTGAGTCTTAATTGTGAAAATATTGAATTATTTCAATATAATAATTTCAGGGAAAAGTATACTGAAATAGCACAAAAATGTGAATGTGCTTAATGCTATAGAACTATACACTTAAAATGGTTAAAATGATACAGAAGAACAAGAATCAGGAAAAAATAGTTAAAATGGTAACTTTTATGTTATGTATATTTTAACACACAGGGGAAAAAAGTATACTGCATCGTATAAAATTTAAAAATGAATGAGAAAATATCATGTTCAATTTTGCCTCCCTGTGACCTAGTGAGCAGGTTTAAACATCTAATTTTATCATCACATATACTTTTTGGCTTTTGGCAGATTGTTTTTAAGCAAACAGTTTCTAAGATGGTTCTTTGTTAAAACAGAACAGATTTACAAAATCCTAAAGAATAAAAATCAAAACGCCAGTTGTCAAACTGTAATTAGAAGGAATCTTTGTTTCAGAACACAGAAATCCATCTTAAATGCAGTACACTAAAGTGATATTCTCTTAGTGTAAAAGGTGGGCAAAGACTTATGTTTGAAGAGTTCTCTTAAGAAAGTCTTAATAAAAA